GGCTGTTGCATGCATAAAATGCAACCTTTTTATTCTGACAGTGTATGACTTCTATTAACATTACAGAATAGAACATGATCAATATTATCTTTCAACGTTCAATTTAAATAACTGTAATTGGACAAACTATGTAGGGTACAATTTCAGTTTGTTTATTGTGAAATAACTCTAAATAACTTGTTTATTGTGAAATAATGTCCTTCTGTCCTCTGATAAGCATTGTTCAGGACTGCTGTTCCCAAAAGCTTTAATGCTTTTTTATGATACTTTTGGGGAAAGCAGCCATGTTTGAATGCACTGTCAGCCGTGAGTGAACGCTCTGTGAACGCTGTGATTGATTGGTTCTGTCTTGCAACATTTGCGTGTGTTCAGATGAGCAGGAAAATAGTTCTATCCTACACATTTACTCGCTAACAAATGTTATTCGTCCAATTCAATGCATATTGTATGCATTATTATTATTTATTTATTTTTGTTAAATTAACAAAATCACTGGTAAATAAAATACACCTTAGTATCGATATTTTTTGTTTGAGTATCGATACTTTCGATACTCGCATCAGTATCGATATATCGATACTTTGGATCGATATGCCCATCCCTAGTGTAATAAAGCTCATTATAATCAGTGATGCTGTCTATGTGACACGACAAACCCCCAGCAGTAAATGGTTCTGAAATAAACACCACTTCTGACAGAAAGGACAAATTAATTTGCAACGGTTACTTTGCCACGTAGAGAGCTTACCTAAAAATAAACAGTTTAGCATCAATTACTCACCCTCATGTTTTTCCAAACCTGTATGAAGTTCTGAATAAAAAAGTTTTTCTGTAGATTAAAGATATTTTGAAGAATGTCATCAATCAAACAGTTGCTGGTAACCATTGATTTCCATAGTACTGTTTTCCATACTATGGAAGTCAATGGCTACCAGCAACTGTTTGTTTACTAGAGGCGTTTTTAGCCTTTCCACAGTCCCCCATCAAAAAGTGTGCCCATATTTGAATACTCTTTTAATGCTGTTTTGGAACTAAATCATCTCTACCTGACATTTACAAACTGCATGCACAATAAAGAGCTGCTTCGTCATTGACAACCAATAGAAGACATTTGCAAGTTTCGTTTTAGCTAAATATCCACCTCATCCAGCACTTATTTTGTTTAGCGAACAAGTTCCAAATTTTTGCCTGTTTAATGATTAGATCATAATAGTGATTCAGTCACAATTCTGGCATTGCTAGCACTGCTGACAGAAATTACACATGACTTGATTGCTGAAATATTATCAGAGAAAATAATTTTCAGGTCGATATACATCAATCCCTTTGACACAAGGATTTATTAACAACATTTTACTGAGGCCCTAGTAAAAAGTTCTAGCGACATTATCATTATAGCCGTGGTGTGGATTTCCCTATTCTCACAGATTTAGAATTTATAGTTATCATTATACTTATCATCCTTGATGTGAACTGAAACAGAGTTGAGCGGAAGAAACAGATTGCTTCATCAACAAATCATTTTGTGAATCAATTTGGTGAATAGTTTTTTTTTTAAATGTGATTCAAAGGAATGATCCGTTCACAAATCAAACAACACTATGCTGTAAAGCTTAAAAAAGTGGTACCTTTTTGTACTTTTATGGTGTTTTTACAGTATTTTGAAGCTTGATTTGTTTCTTAATCTTTCAGTAGATTGGATAAATGTGAATTAAATAGTGGATGATCACCAATTAATGATTCATTATTAAATACCCGTGCTGTTACACCAAAGGAAATCATATGACCCTGGTGTTTTTTCTGTTCTTTTAGGTGGTTTTTTGGAAAGTTGAGTCGTGTTGAGGCATTGAGTCACCTCATGTCAGCAGAAAATGATAATGGATCCTTTCTTGTGCGAATCAGTGAGACTGACAGCATGGGCTTCGTACTCTCAGGTGTGTGTGTGTTGTTTTCTGACAGCCATTAGGGAGTTTGTTACAGCACACATTAGAATCTCTAAAAGGTACAATTTCAGACTGAAGTTCTGAATCTTGTCTCTTAGTGAAATCACAGACCAAAGCAAAGCACTTCAAGATCTACCATACTAGTGGTCAGTTCTATGTGGATCCATCTCCTCAATTTGCCAGTGTATTAGAGGTGGTTGAATATTATCAAACTCACCCACTCTCCACTTCGGATTTACTTAGGAAACCCTGCATTCGGGTAAGACTCTCTTTTCGGGTAAGATTCTTCTCTCCTCTGCTTGTTTTTACAGTATATCTCTCTTATTGTCCTGTTCTCTTTCAGTTTTGTCAAATGAGGAAGTGCTTGAAAGAGTTTCTTCACTGTTATGAGAATGTCAACTTAATCGACATCAAGAAACTCATTTTTCACTATTCTCCAGCAAACATATGCTGATACAGTATCTGATCGAAAAGCATCTAACCCAGTGAATATGTGAGGATAGTCCTCATGAAACGAAATGTGTTTGTAAACTTCCTTCCTGACACCACTGACTCATGTTTCTGTAGAAAATGCCCCGGGTTCTTCCACCCCCCTCAGTCGATGAATGGGAGCTGCCTAAAGAACAATTTACTCTTGAGAAGATGCTCGGCGGTGGCCACTTTGCTGATGTTTACAGCGGCAGGTGGAAAAATCACACTAAAGTGGCCATCAAAATCCTCAAGAACAATGGTGAGCTCACAGCTAGAGTCGCCACAGAGCAGAGCTGAAAATTAGAATGCAAAAGCTGCACAGCAAAATCATATAGGATCTAGCAGTATAAATGTAATGCCGGGAACACACTGCATGATTTTCAAAGTTGTTGGATCGCTGTTCTTCTCACACTACAAGACTGTCTGGAGTACAATTTAGTTTCTTTTGTGTGCACACTTGCACACATGACAGATTGGCGACAGAAGGTCACACAACTTTTTAACAGGAAGAATCGCAAACAACAATGGTGTTCACTGGAAAAATGTTGGATATAATCTTCTAATTTAAGCACAAGACTGTAGATGAACAGTCCCATTGACAACACAGGTTAATGCAGTGGATCAAAACCAGTGTCTGTGCAATATACATGGCTGGAAAGAGTTAATAAACATTACTAAAGACTCTGACTTTCATAAATCTGTGTCAGAAATAGAACAGACACAAAAGAAATTTAACACCGGTGTTCAAACGACCTTTTCTCAAGAGTGGTTATTCGAGTAAAACCACTTCAAAAGGTACACGATACTCCAGACAGAACCTCAGGATCTGCTGGGGGTCTTACTTTTGCCAGTCACAGTGTTCAGGAATTTCCTTCAGGGAAGGAACTGGACAAGCATGACATGGATAGGCAGCTCTTGTGCAGAAGGACTTTCAGTTGGAGGTGCAGATCATGAAGCATTTCCGTCACAGGCACCTGATTTCTCTCTTTGCCGTCTGCACTTCCTCTGCCCCATTTTACATAATCACCGAACTAATAGAGAAGGGAGACCTGCTTAAGTTCCTAAAAAGTCAGTCGCTGTCCCTTAGATATGTATGATTGAAGTCTCTTTATATCTTAATATTCATATATTTTTCTTGTGGGTGTAATTAAGCTGTCTCACTTTCTCTCTCACTTCTTAATTTGATCTGCCTTCTATATATCACCCTCCATCAGATCCAGAGGGTAGGGCACTGGATATGGAGTCTCTGATCGACATGGCAGCTCAAGTGGCAGATGGAATGGCATATTTAGAGGCACATAACAGTATTCACAGAGACCTTGCAGCAAGAAATGTTCTAGTTGGAGAGGGATATGTCTGCAAAATTGCTGATTTTGGCCTAGCTCGAGACATTAAGGTGAGCTAAAATGATATGCTGTTCCCTTTCATGGGAACTTCGAACTGCATTTTTGGACGTCAGCGAGTAATGTGACAAAAATCCCCTTCAGAATTCAAGCAAAATTACTGTATCCTTAATGAAGGCAACCACCTGCCTCGGGACATGAATACCCTACAGTTTTTACAACCAACATTTTTGGATTGTACATTGCACACATTACACAGTATTTGTGTGCCGAGGCTGAACATAATGTAGGTCATGCAGAATGGCAGTGATCCTAAACATTACACTGGTAAATCTACAACCGAATACCTCAAGCAGAAAAACGGCATTTAAATTGCAATTCAAACCCTGGCTTGGAATATTGTAGTTCGATTCACCCAAGTGGAATAAATGCAGTAGTACAAATACACTGCACTACAACTTTGTCTTGTTTGTCAATAAGATTCTAAAATTTAAATTACACACATTTACTTGGAAATACTATATAATGACTTCCTTCTTACTCCATTTGTACTTTTGTAGATTGTTTTTTCTTGTTTTAAGCATAAATCTAACAAAATGTTTAAAACGAGAAATTTTGCTGTGTAACTGAGAGCTTTCTCTAATAAAACTAAATATATTTTTTTAGAAATGGTAAATTAACAATATATTTTTAATAAATCCATGTTATGTTTTTGTCTATGTTTTTATAAAGCAGATGCTCTTGTGCAGAAGGACTTTCAGTTGGAGGTGCAGATCATGAAGCATTTCCGTCACAGGCACCTGATTTCTCTCTTTGCCGTCTGCACTTCCTCTGCCCCATTTTACATAATCACCGAACTAATAGAGAAGGGAGACCTGCTTAAGTTCCTAAAAAGTCAGTCGCTGTCCCTTAGATATGTATGATTGAAGTCTCTTTATATCTTAATATTCATATATTTTTCTTGTGGGTGTGTGCATCCGTGTCATCGCTATTTGACACCCGATGACACACACGATCTATGCGTTGTTTGTTTGGGCGAAAAGCACGCACGCGATGTCCTCGAGGGGGCAATCTGCGTGTACTGCGAGCATTTTCCAATGAAAAAGCTCCGTTCTCGTTTGTCTCTTTTTTCGAGTAAAGAGGGGCAGCCATCTGATTCCTGGTCAATGAGTTTAAAGAGGGGTCTTCTCTCAAAACTCCCTCCTTGCCATCCAAGCCCCTTCAGATTATATACCGCTTGAATGGCAGGGCATACACAGCATACCAGGCTGACCTGCTGAAAGACCTGGATAAAGGCGAGGGCCTTTCTCCTGATGAGATGGCTGAGTTGCGCCGCACCACGGATTGCTCAGCGGCCTTCAAATCCTTCATTCCACGAAGGTCCAGGTCTGAGCCCGAACAACCCAGGTGTCCTGGCCCGTCTCGGTTTGAGGATTAGAGACGAGTACAGAAAGCTAGTGTCGTGACTCGCGCTCCTCGCCCGCCTGCGGGTAGGGGTAGGAAGAATCGCGGGTCAAAGGGAGGTAGGCAAGACCTAAGGGAGGTGATCCA